AGGGCAATTCCTAATATGAGGTACTACTGTTATCTTTTCTGTAAGGTTCTGCCGTGGTCTTGTAGCTGATGCACAGTGACGTCATTTTTGAGAAGTAGTGGACTGTCAACTAGGAGAAATTCTAGTCACTAGATTTAATGTGTTCTTGTGTTTGTTTGTATGCTTCCCCATTCCTTGAGGCAACTGATTTCAATTAAACTATCATTTTGATTGTAGGTAATAGCTGTAATGATATTTCTGACACTTCATGCATGCAAGTTTTGCAAAGTTATATAGCTACAGGTCATGGCTGAAATTCAACATGGCAGGGTTCCTATAATGGGGTACCCTCCTTTCTCCATATATGGGATACTGAAGTTGCTTTGAATCCCTACCTCTGAGCAGCTGCTGTTGAAATGACTGGTGCATGGGTTTAGGAAAAATGGAATGAATCCACTGGGTTTCATTGTGCTCAGGAGTCATGATTTTGCAATTTATGTTAAGGAAGACGGTGCAGAGAGTGAACAGAGTGCTCATGAACCAACTTTCAGTTGAAATAGTCTGAATCTGCCGAACATAGGAGCTCTAGTGACTTTTAATTTCCTGCAGCAAGTGATTCGGCTGGAATATACAGGGGCACTTTCTGATTCTCACACAATTTTCTCATGAGACAAGAGCATTCTATTCGACTACATTTATAATTTCATCCAGTGGATTTGTTCTCACTTGAAATCCTGGTTCACTGCCTTCAGTGCATTGCCAAGCAATGACACCCTTGTTTACTCAGATAAGGAAATCTGTTACCAGTAACTTTTATTTTGTACTGAAACTGTACTTTAGATTCAAGTTATGTAAACATTGGCAAATGGAGGGGGAGAGCAGAGAATGTTGAGAGATACTCTACAAGAACTGCCTGATAATAGCCAGAAATAGCGCCAAAACATGTCGTAATGTAGAAACGGTATAATTATCTTAGAATTATACATATAATGTGAGACTTAAACTGAATGAAATATTATTTGAGATCGTAAATATACCGTGTGTAATGGAGCGAAGTCGACCCTTTCTAAAGGACAAAAATTGTTTTAATTCACTAAAGATTTTTTTTAAATATTTTAAAATGGCATTAACCATATACATTTATTATTTGTTGCTACATGTTTCGGCCAGACATGGGCCATTATCAGGCAGCATTTGATAGTGGGAAGACCACGGCACTGTTCATTTTGTCTTCTGTGCCCTCAAACATGTCTTTGTTTTCTGATCTTTTGTCGGATATTTCTGTCTTTTTTGTCATTTTGTATTGTTATGTATGCTTCGAATGAATGAATGAATGAAAGTATGAGCGGTAGGCCTCCTCGGCCCTTGCACCGCGACCTACAGTGGTCTGTTGTGCTTAGTGCTCTAATCCTGTATTTTGTAGTTTTCTTAAATAATCTATTTGTTTTTGGTTCTACTAAACTGGTTTCCTGCTGTATACACATATGGGAGAAAAGTGCAGTGCCCCGTTATAGAAGCCACACCATATTAGGTAACTTTTTCTGATTATATTGAATAAGAAACGCATTAATATCGACAGTGAATTGTGATAATGAATAAATTCCTTGTATGCTTAATATAGGTGAGTTACACTTCAAAACGCATTGAAAGTTACCTTCAGATTGTTAGATGTATCACTGTTATGATCAAGAAAGTAACATTGCCATATATTAAGTGAAATTGTCTCACCATTTCGAATATTTTTTGTTGGACAGAGATTTGAAGTTAGGTGTCAGCTTTGTTGAAATGAGCGGGGTTCCTAAATTGTGTATTTACATGTTCGAAAATCGTTTTGTAAAGCGGTACTTCATTTATAGAAAGAATAACAGACACTATGGTACCTGGGCACAAGTACATATGGAGGAAGTTTTGAATGTATCGAGGTAGGAACTATGGGATTTATCAGACATAGTGAAAGGTGCAGTATTCTAAAACTGAACCTTGAAACGTCACGTGAAAGTTCTAAGGGGGTATTCAGAGAACAGATAGATGGATCGGCTTCCCACATTGCTGCCTGAAGTGGAAAAGGAAATCACAGCTTATATTGCAAAGTTAAAATCTTGTTGTTTTGGCACAACATTCACCGATTGTAGAAAGTATACATATGAAGCAGCAGAAGAGAATGGTTTGAGGCACGTATTTAACAAGGATCTGAAGAAGGCTGGCAACTATATCACAGTTTTACGAAGCGTCATCACGGCAGGAAGAATGTAGGGAGAGATGTGCATTGGCATCCAGTGGATAATGGTACACATGTCAATTTTGAAGCAACAAGAATTCGCAAACAAATCTACATCTCTCTGTAATCTAGTGGAGGCTTCCATAATTTAGCACTAATTATCGGTTGCACTTCTAAGGAACTAAGCAGGGTTTTTGGTCGAGTTTTTGTGAGTATTCAGTAAGTCAAAAAGAATTAAGTGTCATAAGTGATGTGTAGTTGTAGTTTTCAGTTAACCAATAATTCCTTCTTAGTCTGCCAAGATGCCAGATATTACATATGCATGTATAGATCGGATTGAGTTACTGGTGTCACGAGGGGTAATAGCATAGTACACAATTAAACGACAAGACACGACG